TTTTTTCCAATCTACTAGAATAACTAGCTCCAAATACTCAAATATTTAGATTTCTTATCATATTTTTCAAGTATAAGCTATAAATTTAAAACCCTAAACAAAATTTACAAAAACTAAATCAATAATTATTAACCTTACCTCTTGAAGAATTAAATAAACAAGATTGAAGTAGTTGGCACAAGATTTTTTTTTTCTTTTTCTTCCTTTCTTTTTCTTTTCTTCCCTTTCTTCTCTTCTCTGCGTTTCCTCCCGTTCAACACACTTTAGTGTGTGTTAGTGTGTGATTTTTGTGGAAAAGTATGGTCAAAGTTTGAATATAAATGCCATTTGTTCAAAATTGCTAAGGAAGGTCCCTATTCTTTAATAGAATATAGCTTTTAAGTTCTAAACTTCCAAATATATATAAGTAAATTCTCAACTTTAAATTGTAGCCAATTTAACCCTCACATATGACTAATTATAAAATAAACCCCAATAAAATATTTAATTTCATTTTAGTCCTTAATTGACTTTGACTTTGACTAGTCGACATTTGAATTTTGACTAGAAAATTTGGGTTGTAACAGTACATGTAGCAACGTTCTTACCGATTGAACTTTACTATTTATACACTGATTTTTGGCACATTGTTTGACACTTGCATTGTTGTCAAGTGTCAATTGGATGGGAAAAATATTTGAAATTTAAACAGTCCAACAGTGGGGTAATGTTACGTGGTTAAGATTGAACTAAAGTGTGTACACATAGTGTACATGTAGCAAGGCCCTGATATGATCCAGGAGTCGAGCCCGATGAAGGTAAGTGCGAGATGAGACCCGTTGATAGTTGATGACGGACCAATGACGCGATCAAGGACAAAGTAAGTGAAACAAGCGATGGGATTGCTCGTTCAAGAAACTATGGATAGAACCATGTTTGGGACTCAAAATGGAGTAACTTTCATGTTCAGATCGAAGGTCGAATCGACTTGGATCAATTTGTTATCAAGCAACGAAAGCAGAGGCAGAAATCAAGACCATGCGGCCGCATAGGCAAAATTACATGCGACTGCACAGCATGATACTGAAAACCAAAAGACCAGTTCAAGTTAAACCATGCGACCGCATGGATTTACACCATGCGGCCGCATGGGCCAAAAAAATTAGCGATTTTTCTATTTTTGGCCAAATTTCCTAGTTTCGATAGAATTCTTATGGAATCAAATTATTACCATAATTTGATGGTTTTGGACATTTTTATTCATTAGTATAAATAGGAGAATATCTTTTCATTTTATAAAAACCTTTGAATTTTTTACATTGCTTAATATTATAGAGAGAGAATTATTCTTTCAATTTAATTGTTCTTCTTGAACAATCTTGGAACTTATCAAGATTCGACTTCTTGTGGCGTTCTATCAATTGGATTGTGGATTCTTTCAATTGTAATCAAGGGGTTTTAGGTTCTTCGCTAATCTAGGGTTTCTTGGTTCAATTCTTGGCGTTCAAGATCCAAAATCGGGTTAGTATTGGCGTTCTTGGGTTCTGCATCAATGTCGTTGTGGGTTTTATAGTTTCCATTGCTATGGGGTTCGCATAAGGTCCTTATCGATTGAACTTTGCTATTTGTACACTGATATTTAACACGTTGTTTGACACTTGCATTTTGGACAAGTGTCAATTGGATGGGAAAACGCTTTGAAATTTAAATTGTCCAACAGGGTAGTGACACGTGGTAATGTGTAAACTAAAGTGTACACCATAGTGTACATGTTGCAAGGTTCTTACCGATTGATCTTTGCTATTTGTACGCTGATTTTCAACACGTTGTTTGACACTTGCATTGTTGACGAGCACCAATTGGATGGAAATTTTTTTTAAATTTTAGATTGTCCAATAGGGTAATGACACGTGGCAAAGTGTAAACTAGAGTGTACACCATAGTGTACATGTAGCAAGGTTCTTACCGATTGAACTTTGTTATTTTTACACTACTTTTTGACACGTTCTTTGACACTTGCATTTATGTCCAGTGTTAATTATATGGAAAACTGTTTGAAATATAAACTATTCAATAGGGTAATGTCACGTGATAAATTGTAAACTAAAGTGTACATCATAGTGTGCATGAAGCAACGTTCTTACCGATTGAACTTTCCTATTTGTACACCGGTTTTTGAAACCTTATTTTATACTTACATTGTTGTTAAGTGTCAATTGGATGGAAACACTATTTGAAATTTATACAATCCAATAGGGTAATGTCTCATGGCAAAGTGTAAACTAAAGTGTGTGCACCGTAGTGTACATTTAGGAAGGTCCTTACCGATTGAACTTTTCTATTTGTACACCAATATTTAACACGTTGTTTGAGACTTCCATTGTTGACGAGTCTCAACTGGATGGGAAAACTGTTAGAAATTTAAACTGTCCAATAGGGTAACGACACGTGGCGAAGTCTACACTAAAGTGTACACCATAGTGTACATGTTGCAAGGTTCTTACCGATTGATCCTTGCTATTTGTACACTAATTTTAAACACGTTGTTCGACACTTGCATTGTTAACGAGTGTCAATTGAATGGGAAAAGTGTTTGAAATTTAAACTCTCCAACAGGGTAATGACACGTGGCAAAGTCTAAACTAAAGTGTACACCATAGTGTACATGTAGCAAGGTTCTTACTGATTGGTCTTTGCTATTTGTACACTGATTTTTGACACGTTGTTTGACACTTGCATTGTGGTCAAGTTTCAATTGGATGGGAAAACTATTTGATATTTAAACTGTCCAATAGGGGGTAATGTCACGTGGTAAAGTATGAACTAAAGTGTGTACACCATAGTGTGCATGTAGCAAGGTCCTTACCGATTGAACTTTGCTATTTGTACACTGATATTCAACACGTTGTTTGACAATTGCATTGTGGACGAGTGTCAATTGGATGGGAAAACTCTTTGAAATTTAAATTCTCCAATAGTGTAATGACACGTGGCAAAGTGTAAACTAAAGTGTACACCATAGTGTACATGTTGCAAGGTTCTTACCGATTGATCTTTGCTATTTGTACACTGATTTTTGACACGTTGTTTGACACTTGCATTGTTGACGAGTGCCAATTGGATGGAAAAACACTTTAAAATTTAGACTATCCAACAGGGTAATGACATGTGGCAAAGTGTAAACTAAAGTGTACACCATAGTGTACATGTAGCAAGGTTCTTAACAATTGAACTTTGCTATTTGTACACTGATTTTTTGCACGTTCTTTGACACTTGGATTGTTGTCCAGTGTCAATTAGATGGAGAAACTATTTGAAATATAAGCTACCCAATAGTGTAATGTCACGTGGTAAAATGTAAACTAAAGTGAACATGTAGCAAGGTTCATACCGACTGAACTTTACTATTTGTATACTAATTTTTGACAAGTTGTTTGACACTGGCATTGTTGTCAAGTGTCAATTGGATGGGAAAACAGTGTGAAATTTACACTGTCTAATAGGGTAATGTCACGTGGCAAAGTGTAAATTAAAGTGTGTACACCATAGTGTACATGTTGCAAGGTTCTTACCGATTATACTTTGCTATTTGTACACTAATTTTTGACACAAGGTTTGACACTTGCAGTGTTGTCAAGGGTCAATTGATGGGAAAACCATTTGAAATTTAAGCTGTACAATTGGATAATGTCACGTGGCAAAGTGTAAACTAAAGTACGTACACCATAGTGTACATGTAGCAAGGTTCTTACCGACTGAACTTTTATATTTGTACACTTATTTTTGACACGTTGTTTGACACTGCATTGTTGCCAAGTGTCAATTGGATTGAAATTTTTTTTGAAATTTAAACTCTCCAACAGGGCAATGACACGTGGCAAAATGTAAACAAAAGTGTGTACACCATAGTGTAAATGTTGCAAGGTTCTTCCCGATTGAACTTCGCCATTTGTACACTGATTTTTGACACGTTGTTTGACACTTGCATTGCTGACGAGTGTCAATTGGATGGGAAAACTATTTCAAATTTAAACTGTAAAATAGGGTAATGACACGTGACAAAGTGTAAACTAAAGTGTACACCAGAGTGTACATGTAGCAAGGTCATTACCGATTGATCTTTGCTATTTGTACACTGATTTTTGACACATTATTTGACACTTGCATTGTTTTCAAGTGTCAATTAGATGGGAAAATTGTCTGAAATTTAAACTTGCCTACAGGGTATTGTCACGTGGTAAAGTGTACATGCAGCAAGGTTCACTTATTGAACTTTGCTATTTGTACACTGATTTTTGACACATTGTTTGACACTTGTACTATTGTCAAGTGTAAATTGTATAGGAAACATGTTTGAAATTCATATTGTCCGACAGGGTAATGTCATGTGGCAAAGTGTAAACTAAAGTGTGTACACCACAGTGTACATGAAGCAATGTTCTTACCGATTGAACTTTCCTATTTGTACACTGATTTTTGACATGTTGTTTAACACTTCTGTCAAGTGTCAATTGGATGGGAAATATGTTTGAAATTTATACAGTCCAACAGGTTAATGTCACATGGTAAAGTGTAAACTATTGAACTTTTTTATTTGTACACTGATGTTTGACACGTTGATTGACACTTGTATTGTTGACGAGTGTCAATTGGATGGCAAAACTATTTGAAATTTAAACTGTGCAATAGGGTAATGACACGTGGCAAAGTGTAAACTAAAGTGTACACAATAGCGTACCTGTTGTAAGGTTCTTACCAATTGATCGTTGCTTCTTTGTACACTAATTTTTGACACGTTGTTCGACACTTGCACTATTGATGAGTGTCAATTGGATTGGAAAACTATTTGAAATTTAAACTTTCCAATAGGGTAACGACCCGTCGAAAAGTGTAAAATAAAGTGTACACAATAGTGTACATGTATGAAGGTTCTTACCGATTGAACTTTACTATTTTTACATTAATTTTTGACACGTTGTTTGACACTTGCATTGTTGTCAAGTGTCAATTAGATGGGAAAACTGTTTGAAATTTAAACTGCCCAAAAGGGCAATGTCACGTGGTAAAGTGTAAACTAAAGTGTACATGTAGGAGGGTTCGTACCGATTAAACTTTGCTATTCGTACACGGATTTTTGACATGTTGTTTGACACTTACATTGTTGTCAAGTATCAATTGGATGGGAGAACTGCTTGAAACTTATACTGTCCAACAGGGTAATGTCACATGGTAAACTGTAAACTAAATTGTGTACAAGATAGTTTACATTTAGCAAGGTTCTTACCGATTGAACTTTGCTATTTGTACACCGATTTTTAACACGTTATTTGACACTTGCATTGTTGTCAAGTGTAAATTAGATGGGAAGACTATTTGAAATTTAAACTGCCCAATAGGGTAATGTCATGTGGCAAAGTGTAAACTAAAGTGTAGATGTAGCGAGGTTCGTACCGATTGAACTTTGCTATTTGTACACTAATTTTTGACACGTTGTTTGATAGTTGCATTGTTGTCAAGTGTCAATTGGATGGAGAACTACTTGAAATTTATACTGTCCAAAAAGGTAATGTCACGTGGTAAA